AACCATGCCCTACTAACCTCTCCACATGCCAAGCGAAGACGACTATGCGATAACAACGCAACTACGTGTGAAATGTATCTCTTGAAATTTCCTTATCAACACCAGAAGCACAGATATCACGACCACACTAAACAATACCATAATTACATCGGAGTTGCAACATTCAAATGAAAAAAACACCAAAGCAAAATGTTTTACAGAACACACAACCAATCATACGATATCGGGTTGTTGCTCAAAGAGATGCGGGATGATGTGAACATCAAAGTTCTTGTGAAACAAGGACACAGAAGATACAGGTGAAGATAATATGATGATGAGCGCCAGTTTATGCTTCCTCGCCAAGGCGCAGATCGAGAGTGGGTGTCCGTCGAAATACTCAAACCGCTTCGTGCAGCACCTACCGGACGAAGCTCAGTCATTATCACTCGTAACAAGGAAAGATATATTCCCGTATGAGTACCTTGATGACCGAAAGAAGCTTGATGATGCATTTCTCACAGCAAAAGAATATTTTTATAGTTCTCTTGTAGCGAAGCCACTACAAAGGAGGAATACGACAACTCGCTGTAAGTATGGGTAGCTGCCAAATGTCGCACACTCCGGGATTATGCTGACTGCTACCTGCATGTGGATGTGGGCCTAATGGCTGACGTGCTTAGCGAGTCAAAAGATATGACCTCAACATGGCTAACACCGTGTGTGTTAGACCTCATACAGTGGCAAATAATTTGATAACCCGTTTTGACCCTGAAAAGGAAAGATGCACATTAATCCTTTATCTGGACTTCAACAGCCTATATGCCACAGTGATGTCCAAAAAATTCCCGCTTGGAAATATTCGGAAATTGCCTCCTACTTACAAAAGATGTTTGTGGCAAGGAGTTTGCCTGACCACGATGAAAGTGGCGATATTGGTCACTGGACAGAGGTCGAACTACGAGTGCCATCCGGAGTGGCGAGAAAAACGGATGAGATGCCTTTCCTTATTCACCACAAGGAGATAAGAAAGAAATACCTATCCCCATACAATAAAGAACTCATGTCACAGAACAGACGTGTCCTTTCAGAGAATAAAAAACTGGTGCATCACACTTTCCTCAAAAGAATTTCCTCGTTCTACTGAAACGTGCAGCTGCTAATCGAACTAGGGATTTGGTAGAACAAGTGGATGAGGTATATGAATCCTCAAAGCGTGAGTATCTGCAACCCTTTATTCACGAAAATATCAAAGCCCGCCGCGAAGCCACCGACATAAGACACTCTCCAACTGCGTGTTTGGCAGATGCTTTGCGAACCCCTTGAAACGGTAAGAAAAGGCTAGCATAGTATGCAAAGCCTCTACATTTCTGAAAAAAAATACAAGACCCTTTTTTTCAAAACACTCACCCTCTTGCGCCGCACACGTCAAAACAATTTCAAGGGCAAATACAGTTGCTATGAACTACCCACAATATGTTGGGTTTACCATCCAGGAACTGGCAAATTATAAGCTTTACTAGTTTTATTATAAAGTGTTAAAGTCCATTTATGGAGAGAGGGTAAAACTCTGTTTCACCGACAGCTATATTCTCTCTGTTGAGACATGACATCTATAATGATTTTTCAGTGTCTCCTGAAGGAGTGTTTGGACACTTCCAGCTTTAGCCCACCCGTTGTACAATCAGGAACTGCCGCGATCAGGGGGAGGCGAGGGAGGAGGAGAATGAGATGGAGGAGGAGGACAAGGAGATGGACTAGGAGATGCGGAAGCAACGATGGCGGCGACAGTGAACACCGAAAGATCAAATCACTTATGGAGGAAACGGCTCCATCTTGCTTTCACACATTTTCCATTTTCAGGGAATTAACACCAAACCGGCAACTCGAAAACGGAGAAAAGCCGTCGCGGGGAACCTCCATCCTCGAGGGAGCGCGGGAAAGCGACGACGACGATAGCGGTATGATGGTGATGACTGGATTTATATAAATTGACTGTTGTAAATGGAGTGTGCCTGTAGCTATTTATCTTATTTATTTATTTTCCAGTTTGTATAATGCTACTAACAAAAAGCGACGACGACGACGACGACGACGACGACGACGACGACGACGACGACGACGACGACGACGACGACGACGACGACGACGACGACGACGACGACGACGACGACGACGACGACGACGACGACGACGACGACGACGACGACGACGACGACGACGACGACGACGACGACGACGACGACGACGACGACGACGACGACGACGACGACGACGACGACGACGACGACGACGACGACGACGACGACGACGACGACGACGACGACGACGACGACGACGACGACGACGACGACGACGACGACGACGACGACGACGACGACGACGACGACGACGACGACGACGACGACGACGACGACGACGACGACGACGACGACGACGACGACGACGACGACGACGACGACGACGACGACGACGACGACGACGACGACGACGACGACGACGACGACGACGACGACGACGA